GGGGTAGGGGCAGGGGTGGCCGCGGCGGTGGGGATGAGCCGGCAGGAGCAGCAGGCAAGCAAGCGCAGCCACGTGCCGCTGATCTGGATGCTGTGGTGCAGCAGGAACCAAACCTGGAAGTTGGGGATGAGGAGCAGCAGCAAGGCAGGCCCACGCGCGTGGCAGCAGGCAGCACGGGCGCCAAGCAGCGGCGGGCTCGCGTCATCGACTCTGACGGCGCTGACGAGGACGGCGGGAGCGACGGCAGCAGCAGTGGCAGCGAAACGGGCGGCGATGGCAGCGCCAGCGCTGCTGGCGGATCAAGCGGCAACGACAGCAGCAGCAGCAGCAGTGGTGAGTGCGAGAGCGATGGCGATGGCGTCAGCAGCAGTGGCGGGTCGGATTGGGAAGGGACCGCAGGCCGCGGGCGAGGCAAGCGCGGCGGCGGCCGTGGCGCAAAGGGGGCGAGGGGCCGAGCTGCGGCGCGCGGCCGAGGGGCCGCAGCAGGAGCTGACGCGGACCTCCCGCAGCCAGAAGCGCGCCGGCCGCCCCGGCGGGCCGCGCAGGGCGGCAGGCGCGGCGGGGCCGGCGCGGCGGCCGCGGCGGGCGAGGGTCAGCAAGAGGGCGGCGATTGCGACGTCGTGGACTTGAGCGGCTTTGAGGAGGGGGGCGCTGCGGCAGGAGGGGACAGCGGCGTGGTGGCGGGCGCTGGGCTGGTCGCGGGCACGACACATCCGGCTGCCGGTGGCCGGCACGGGCGAGGCAGGCGCTCAAGCGACGGCGGGATACTTTCAATGACAGAAGTGGCGCCCTCCAAGCAGCAGCAGCAGCAGCAGCAGCAGCAGCAGGCAACCGCCGATGACAACCCGAGTGCAACCCCACCTGCAGGCGCCGTGCCCGCCATGTTCCTCGGTAAGGAGGAGCGCAAGCGCCTCGCGGCGCAGCGGCGCCAAAAGGAGCGCGACGCGGCCGCAGCGGCCGCTGCGGCCGAGGCGGCGGCCTCGGAGGCTGCGGCTGCGGCTGCGGCTGCCGGGGCGCGGCGGGAGCGGGAGCGGGAGAGGGCCGCGCCGGGGGCGCCGGCGGGGCCGGACAAGCCTTTGCACCCCTTCTTCTCAGCGCGCCCCGAGGGCGGCGGCGGCGGTGCCGCGGGGGCCGCGGGGCCGGCGGGCACGGGCGGCAACGTGTCGGCGGAGCGGCTCAAGCTCGCGATGGCGCCAGTGCATGTGCTGCAATTGGCGGCTGATGAGAAGCAGCAGCAGCAGCAGCAGGCGCAGCAGGAGCAGCAGCACAGCAGCAGGCGCGACTTGCTCCGCTCGCTGCTCTCACAGCAGCACGAGCGGCAGCACGGCCGAGGGGCGGCGCCGCTCGACGGGCCCCCGTGCCTGGGCCTGATGGGGGGCGGAGAGGACTGCAGAGAGTGGCACCTGCCCGCGGCCCTGCTGTCGCCGACGCAGCGCGCGCCGCTTCCAGCCGCCCCTTCTCCTGCTCCTGGTGCCGTGGCCTTGGCGGGGGCGTCGCCGCACCCCGTCCTCGCTGAGCTGGCGGCGCACCTGCGGGCCCAGCTGGTGGCAGCTGCCGCGCCCCAGGAAGCTTCCGTCCTGGACCTGCCCTCTGAGGCGGACCTGCTAGGGTGCCTGATGGCAGAGCTCGAGGAGCTCAAGGCGCTCGCAGCCACCAACTGCGCCGCCGCGGGCGGCTTGGGCGGCGGCCCGCGCGAGCCGTCGCCACTGCCTTCGCCGCTGCCCGCGCCGGAGCTGGACAGCAGCCTGCCCGGCACGCCACGCGCCTGCGGCGCGGGCGAGGCGGGCGGCCCGGCTGCCGCGCCGGCGCTGGCATCATCTGCGCAGGGGCAGACGCAGGCGGCGGCGCCGGCCGGCGCCGGCCAGTCGCTCGCGTGGGCCGCCAAGTATGCGCCCGCGGCCACCTCCCAACTCTGCGGCAATGCGGCTGCAGGCGCCGCGCTGCGCCAGTGGCTCGCCGATTGGAAGGATGGGGGCGGCGAGGGCGGCGAGCGCGGCGGCGGCGGCGCTGACGAGGACGATCGGTTGTCGGAGGGCAGCAGCTGGCTGATGTCAGACTTTGAGGACAGCCAGGATTCGGGGGCCAAGGGGCGCGGCCGCGGTGGCGGGGGGCCCGAGGCGACGAGCAGGTGTGCGCAGTTTGTGGTCGAGGGAGAGGCAGGGTTGATTCAAGTTGCCCGTGGCGTGCCCACTGCTATGTGTCCCTGCAACGGGTCTGGACGGCTGCGCAACCTGTCCCTAGACCTCGCCATCCCCACCCACGGTCGATCCAACGCCGCTCAGCACACACACGCGCTCTGACGCAACCTTTGGCCCTTGGGGCGCCCCCTCGCCGCCCGCATCCCCCCGCACCAGGTGCGCCGCGGTCGCGCTGCTCGGCCCCGCCGGCTGCGGCAAGAGCGCGGCTGCCTATGCAGTAGCCCAGGAGCTCGGATACCACGTGTTGGAGGTGAATCCCTCAGTCGAGCGCACCGCGGGGACGCTGGCAAAGCTGGTGGGAGAGGCGACGCGCAGCCGCCGCATCGCGCACGGCGGCGCGCGGCGCGGCGGCGACGCGCCGGGCGAGGCGCAGGCGTGGGCGGCGGGCGAGGGAGGGGCCGGCGAGGCGCCGGGGGCGGGGCCGCGTGGCGACGAGGCGGGCGGGGAGGCC